ATTCATCAGCTCCGCCAATTCCCGCTCTTCTTCCTCGGTTAGCATCGATTCGGGGTTTTGCTCCGGTTCCTCCTCCTCAGCCTTGGCTTCCTTGGCCTTTTCCACTGCCGTTCGTAAGTCGTCAGGTCGCAAAGACCATTGGCGAATAGTAGCATCGATGCTGACGCTCACGACGGTGGACCCTATGAGGACCAGCCCTGTAACCTCTTCGAAGTGTCCGGAAAATGTATGATAAAGTTGACCGGTCTGTGAATTATAGAGAGGTTAGTGATAGAAGACAGCTCGCTCTTCAATAGACATCGACTGACCGAGCAATTCCATACTCGAACTTCCTCGTCCCGGCATGCGGTAATGACCCAACCGCCTTGCTCGTGGACTACAACATCTCGAACAAAATCCGGGTGACTCAGCGTCAGGTTCGCTTTCCAACCATCCTCTCTCACGAGACACTTGGCTGTCTTATCGGCCGAAGCCGTCCATAGATCTCCGTCGCTGTCGAAGAACAACTTGTAAACGCTCGTGTCATGCGCCAAAAGAGGATCCATGGCGGTGAGATCTTGACTACCGGAGGTAATGTCAAACCAACGAATTTCTCGATCACTGCCAGCACTAAATACAACAAGTGACTTGCTCTCCGGGTCGAGGGAAGTCGGATCCACAGTCAAGTCCTGGACACCCTTGGCGTGGCCCTTGAGCGTATAAAGGCGCTTTCCGCTGGCGATGTCGAAAACTAAGATTTGCGCATCGGCGCCTCCTGAAATCAGAAGATCTTGCCCACGTAGGCGTGAGCTGATGACCGATCTTACGAAGTCGGTGTGGCCTTCATATCGGTGTTGCGGCTGTCCTGAGGCCACATCCCAGCTCCAAATGGTCTTATCCCAGCAACCGGCAAATAACAGCTTGCCATCGGGGCTAAAGCAGATGCTTGTCACTGGGGCAGTCGGGCCCTTGAAAACGGCAGCAGTCTCACCTGTCTGCAACAATAGCAAGAGAGTGAAAGATTGATTTAGTTACGAGCACCCGTGTGGCATCCAGCGAAAAGGATACCATGCACCTACTTCTAATATGATCTTCCGGACAATCCCAGTACTCTGCGCAACAAACACAGCACCTGGGTTCACAGGATCTGCTGCAATGGCCAATATCTTACTCTGCAACTTGATGGGGCTCCCGTTGGTGTTCCGGGATTTAGCGTCTTTTCGCTTCTGCTCTTCCAAGGCAGCCCTGCAAAATTAGGAGGCACAAGTAGTTAGTGAGAGGGAGCAACACAGAGCAACCTGGTAGTAATCATCACGAACGAGGTTTGAAAGAAGTCATCCCGATGCGTAGAACGCGACATGATGGATATAAATGGTAGCCAGTATATTAAAATTTATTCAACGAATTATAAGTATTTTCTCGTCCAGTGTAACATTGGCGGCGGGACTGGAACCTGAGAGCATCCAGCAGAAAAGAGCAAAAGAGACGAAGGACCTGCTCACTAAGCTCCTGTGGTTCGCCGTAGTCAGAGCTTTCCCACCACAAAAACACGGTAGCCGGTCTCAACCCTTTTCCCATCTCCTCTCTTTCTCTCGCTTCGCTCGCTTACTTTCCGTCTCTTTCTCGCAGCTATAAATTCTGATCGAATTTCTTCTCTTTTCCTCTCTCCTCTTCCCTCTCTTCCCCCGGCCTCCTTTTCTGGCGCGGTTGTCCGCGCAAACCCTGTCCAGCATGGATATGAACCATCTCATAGGGTCAGTCTTTTATGCCTACACTGGTCTGAACCAGGGTTTGTGCGGCTTGTAGACTGGAGTTAACACCTAGCAGTCAGCGTTTCAACCTCATCTCCAAGAGTGACATTCGGTATGATGACCCTCTATTTGGTCGGACTCGCTTGCTTGGCCATTGACTAACTTGCTTATCCCTAGTTACGTTGGTACTTTACATGAGATCAACCCTGAGGCCTCGACAATAGCTCTTGAGAATGTCGTCTCTTTTGGAACAGAAGGCAGACGAGGAAATCCGGCTGAGGAGATCCCTCCGTCTGCCAGTGTCTATGAATACATTGTCTTCCGTGGGAGTGATGTAAAGGACATTAGCGTAGCCGAGGAGACGAAGGAAAATGCACAGCCTGAACCTCCTCAGGTGCCGGACGACCCTGCTATCCTAGGGGTAAGTTCAACCGGACCTTGATTTGATTTCTTCCCCCTTCCCTTCATACCGTGGGACCACATGCGTGCAAGTCGCTCGACTTGACACGGTCGGGTTGGTTGATCAGGTGATGAAATATTTCGGATGTAAACTCACAGACCTGTTCTGAATGCGCAAAATCGTGTAGAGATTTCCGTTGCCTTCCTTCTGATGATCAACAAAAACCATGCAATTTGTTCTTTCTTTGTTACAGACATGACTGGTGCAACTTGGACAATTTGCTGACTTGAATGAAACAGAGCATGTCTCGCCCAGGACCCGCCCCTCAAGGACCTTCTCAACCTCAACCACCACAACAGCCTCAGATTCCTCGTCCCAACCCCCCTGGATATCCTCAGCAGCCACAATTTCCAGGCTTCTACCCACCTTATGGACAACGCTTCGGCGCTCCTGGCTTCCCACCTGGACCTGGATTTCCGAACATGCCGTATGGTGCTCCACCGGGATGGTACCCTCCTCCTGGCCAGGGATTTCCTCCAGGACCTGGACAATTTCCTCCTCAGATGCCTATTTCTGCCCCTGGACCACACCAAACTCCCCCTCCCCAGAATCGAGCTGGAGCTCCGGGCGCGGGTCCTGTAAATGTACCCAAGCCGACGTCGGAGCTCCCGGTTGGTGACCGGCAGACGAGTAAGCCCACTAGCCGGAACGCCACACCTGCCCCTGCTCCATCTGCACAGAATCCTCCTCCACCCCCCGTCGAGTCTAAGCCTTCCGTAACAGAAGCCGTAAAGGCCTCTACTTCTCAAAGTGCGCAAGCAGCCGCTCTTGGAGCTGGTCCTGGAACACCATCCAAGGTACCTCCCACTGGACCTAAGGGGGGTCGTGTTCAGCCAGCGATTCCTGTCACCAACCTACCTAAGCCGCCTATTCCGGCTGTAGCCAATCCTCCTCTTGCTAGTGTTCCGGGAAATAATGTGTCACAAGGACCTGCGTTGTCCGCTATCACGGAGGCTACTCGTGCTGCAACTGCTGCGGTTGCTGCCGCCATGGCCAAGCTGCCACAGCCTAATGCTCAGAGACCATCCGCGCAGGATGCAGTTGTTGACGCCGTGACCAAGCAGATTGGTGAATTGAAGACGCACGAAGGCGGCCGTCCTCCACGTGGTGGACATCGCGGTGGACGTAGTGGTCATCGCGGTCATTACCAGGGACCAGCCAAGAAGGTTGAAGTCCCCGACACTGACTATGATTTTGAAAGTGCCAATGCCAAGTTCAACAAGCAAGATCTGGTCAAGGAAGCCATTGCCACCGGCTCTCCTGTGCACGAGGCCGAAGCACACGTCGAGAACGGTGAGGTCGAAGCTGTTGATACCACTCATCATGCCCCGTCCACCACTACGTCTGGTTACAACAAGACTGCCTCATTCTTCGACAACATCTCCAGCGAGGCTCGTGACCGCGAGGAACGCAGCGGAGGTCGACCTGGCGGTCGTGAGTGGCGCGGCGAAGAAGAGAAGCGGAACATTGAGACCTTCGGCCAGGGTAGCGTTGATGGCTATCGCGGTCATTACAGGGGCCGTGGCAGAGGCAGAGGCTACGGTGGCCGGGGTCGTGGTGGTTATGGCCGTGGCTACAACACTCGAGGCCGTGGTAACTATCGGGGACGCAGCAATTCGCAGTCTACCGGCGTGCCTGCACCGATCTAGTCACCGTCTCATTTTCTTGAGATTCCTTGATGCTGTTCGATTAGCGATTTTACTCACCGACTTCTGTTGTTTTTGATGAATCTCGGCGTCTGGATGGTCGCATCCTAGGAAATACTCGATATCAATCAAGTTCTAATGTTGCGATTGGGATTAGTACGAATCACGGCGGGCTTGGTGAGCGTTGTACTGTTTTGATACGGTTTCTGTTCACGGCGTTTATCTATTTTTACCACTTGCATGGCCTTGGTGACCGCACAGACGGTGATGATGAACAGTTTATTTTCCCCTTTACGTGTCAGGACATGTAGCCTGCTCTTCGTCCTGGATCTGGCTGATGTGATGATGCCCTGCCTATTGAAGGCTTATCTCTCATGTTGCTGTCGACAGCAGACACACCTGACTTATGTACCATATTCGAGAAGATATCATTCTGAATGAAAATCACAAAAAAAGGGCCATCGAGCCTACCCCACTATTTCTTGTCCTACAGCTTGTAATATCCAGTTGCTCACAGATAAATCGTCAATGACTGAGGGGTCGGCCGAAGATACAGTAGTTATCCTCGGCTCAAGACGTGCGGAGAACCGCCATCTTTACCTGTTGTTTGCAGAGCCACTTTCAGCAGCTGGATGTTGAACATTGAAGACACGCTTCGCTGGGGGATGTCCGACTCTTCTCCCCTTCTGCAGCTGTTGATTCGTTCTTTCGATAGTCCAAGCATGCCTAGTATGAACTGGATGATCGTCCCTTTTAACTCCGCATTATCGGTGTCAATACCCACACTCTGCCCTGTTCACCTCGGCCAAACAAGCTTTCCGCTCTCACGTTCTGGACGCTTGGACACTGGATAGATCAAACTATTGCAGTGGTCCCCCGCACTATGGACAATGGTCGATATAAGGAGTGGAGAAAGAATGGGGGTTCGCCCTTCGTCACTCTACCGTCCCACGGCTACAACCAAAGGCCCATGTCTCAATCGAGCAAGACAGTTGATGAGCATTATCCACCTTTCCGTTTGCAAAACCACTAAATACCGAGGGTCGGCTCGGTTCCAGTTCTTTTCTTGTCCACAATTGCCTCAATAAACTAGGATCCCCACCGACGCTGTAGCACAAGAATCGCTCGTCTCACGTACTATATAAACAAGGACTCCTCGGCACCATGGTCGCCTCGGATCGACTCAAGAAAGTCGCCGATACTTTGTCCTCAAATCCCATCTCTGCCTCGGTGTTGCCGGATACAATGTCTTCTCGAGTGCAAGTGCCTGACCGGCTCCCCTGGGATCCTACTTGTACCCGGTTTCCTTCTCGCAACGAGTTGCCCACGCTCACTGGAGCGCCGGAAGGTGCGGCTTGGGTGTGGGGTGAAGATGATTCGGTGAGTTCCCCTCTTCGGAGAAGTTGTAGTCAGATGCTGATGTGATGTGCATAGCTTGGGAGACTGAATCTGCTTACTCCGGAGCGGGTGAAGGCTGCCGCGGCGGAGATTCAGACGGGGGAAATGGTTCGGCTTGAGTGAGAGACGTCATGCCGTAGATGTTTGAGTGAGATAACTGATGGAAGACAGTCTTCCGTTGAATGTTCCCGAGACTCCGGCTTTTGGACGGGAGGCTTTTCAGCATAAAATCAAGTTACTGGTCGAGGGTGTGGCGTACGATGATACGTATACGTTGAACACACAGAGTGGTACGCAATGGGATGGATTCCGACATGTAAGGCTGCAAGCAGGTCTCTGCTATAGTCTGGGGTGTAGTGTTAACAGATCACAGTTCTCACATATCGATTCTCAAACCTTCTACAACGGCGTATGTGTCTCTTGCGCCCCATGCACTCCGTCAGTCACACTAACGTGACGCAGACCAAACCCTCCGACATCGTCGGCGAAAACGCGAACCTCCGCTGCAGCATCCACCACTGGGCTGTCCATGGTATTGCCGGCCGCGGCATCCTGATCGACTATCGCCACTATGCGAAAATCCACAACATCGACTATGACCCATATACGGCGCACCCCATCTCCTTCGACGACCTCAAAGCCTGCGCCACGTACCAGGGGATCGATCTCCGTCCGGAGTCGCAAGGCGGGGACGTCAGAGTAGGCGACATCCTCATGGTTCGCTCCGGGTTCGTAGAACGGTATAACCAGCTGACTCCAGCGGAGCGCACGGCGGCCGCCGAGCGCGCACACGATGATCTTAAGTGGGCGGGTTTGAAGCAAGAAGAGGCGCTCCTGGACTGGCTTCATGATTGCTACTTTGCCGCGGTTGCAGGAGACTCGCCCACGTTCGAGTGCTGGCCACCGGCTGACGGGAACTACATGCATCAGAACATTCTGGCGTTGTGGGGGATGCCCCTGGGTGAGATGTGGGATTTGGAGAAGTTGGCGGTCAAGTGCCGGGAAAGGAAGAAGTGGACTTTCTTCATGACGAGCGCTCCGGCCAATGTTGCTGGTATGTGTTGCCTCCCACCGATGTGGTGTTGAACGATCGCTAACTGTGGTTTAGGAGGTGTTGGATCTCATGCAAACGCGACGGCTATTCTGTAGAGCTAAGCTGTATGAACTATCCTTTGTATCGACGACTCGATTAGCAATATCTCATTGTTGATACCACTCCTTCTACTTCACATAGGTGTAATTCGAGACAAAGTCCGACAAGGTGTACATCGGACAGCGTAGATCGCCTTGCAGCGCTGTCTATAAGGATTACCATCCCTGCTACAATGCGCTAACGTCTGTTTAGACTGAACCAGTGATGTATACCTCTTGATCCCTCTCCGAAGACTGGTACATCTACTACAAGAGAGGAGCATAACAACCAGAGCAATCAGGACTCAAACAGACAATCTCATCAATCTGTCTCATATATTAATAATGTACAGCGATGATATCAGTCCCAGTCTCCCGGACATCATCGATCACACGCCCTCGGAGCGGATGCGGGGGCGAGTCGCGGGGCGGATACAAAAAGTATGCGGATCGAGCCACGGTTCACAGAAAAGAGCTTATACTCCAGATAGAAAGAACCTCAACCTCACATCAGTCCAACTCGCAGATATCATCAGCTGAACCCGGGTAGAAACGGCGATCCTGCTTCTATTCTGATCTACCAACCCGCTGCGGATAGTGCACCGGTCTGCGGCCCGCATACACTACTGCGGTTGGCGGCCGCCATGATGAATGGATGAAGTATAAGACCTCGTATCAAGGTCGCCAGATCCTTAGAACGAATCTTCATTCTCGCAACAAAGCATACTCAACATGCGACTGCAACACCCAAACACGGACTCGGCAAGCAACATGCGAACCGCCGCCACAGGCTGGAGGCGACTCAGCGTTGGCGTCGTGGGAGGCGGCATCGGCGGCCTCGCTGCGTCCATTGCGCTGCGCCGTGCAGGCCACGAGGTAACCATCTACGAGCGCCATGATTTCGCCGGGGAAGTGGGTGCTTCTATCTCGTGCGCGGCGAACGGCACGCGCTGGCTGCACGAGTGGAAGGTGGATATCGCCCAGGGGGACCCCGTTGTGCTGCGCAAGCTGATCAACCGCGACTGGAAGACGGGGGAGCCCGTCAGCGTGTATGACCTGGATGGGTATGAGGAGCGATGGGGTTACGTGTACTACATGTTCCATCGGCAGTACATGCATGTCATGTTGAAGGACTGTGCGATGCAAGAGGAGGGGGAGGGGACGCCGGTGAAGTTGCTAGTGAACCACCAGGTAGGACTCTCGACCTCCACATTGACATGGTACTAAGTGAAGCAGTGCAAGGATATAAACCTCGAGACCGGGGTGATCAGCTTCGCCAACGGCAAAACCGCCCAGCACGACCTCATCGTCGGCGCGGACGGCATCGGCTCCGCCGTGCGTAGCATCATCGGTCTCAAGCCGGAGAAGAAACCCGCCGACTCGAGCTGTCTGCACGCCAACGTGCGCACCGAGGATGCCGTCCGCCTCGGGCTGGTCGATTACTCGCAGCACAGTGCGCTGGAGTACTGTACTGGGGCGGCCAGGAAAACAGCTGGGACAAGATCGTGCTGTCGCCCTGCAACGGCGGCAGCCTGCTCTCGTACTACTGCTTCTTCCCGCGGGAGAAGGGCGATTTCACGAACCACACTTGGGGCGGCACGGACCGGCCGGTTGAGGAGCTGCTGGCGCCGTACCCCGAGCTGGACAAGCAGGTTCGGGCGCATCTGGCGATCGGGCTGGAGATCCGGCCTTGGCGGCTGTGGGTGCATCAGCCGTACCCGTATCTAGTCCGTAATATGGTGTGTCTGTTGGGCGATGCTGGTCATCCGGTACGTTGTTCCCCGTTTCAAGTCAGGATGCTCTCAGCTGATAGGCTGTAGATGATGCCGCACCAGAGTCAAGGTGCCTGCATGGCTATCGAGGACGCCGCTGCGCTGGGTATCCTTTTCAGACCGGACTATTTTGACGGTAACGTCGCCGAGGCGCTGCAGGCATACCAGGAGATCCGACTACCGCGTGTCACCAAGGTGCAGGCGGCGTCGGCCAAGGCAGCATCCAATATCAACGAGCGGATTGGTAGGCGCCTCCTTTTTACAGATAAAGTCGATGCTAACGCCAACAGGCTTCTCAAGCAATACCAATATTCCAAAGTACAAGGTCGCCAGCGAGAAGGACAAGCTGACGATCGAGGAGATGAATGGGTGAGTCGTGACTGTTAATAGATTGCCTGCACACTGTCTAACCTGCGACTCAGATACGACATGTACAAGGATGTCGAGGAGGTTCTCGCCAAACGCCGGGGACAGCCGTTTCCGCAGCTGTATATCCGTGGGCTTCCCATCGGGTTGAAGTTATCGAATGGCACTGTCGTTGGCCAGCAGCCGTCTGCTCAGATGAAACTTTGACCTTTCTCGTGTGTTATATGATATACCCTTTGCCCGATTGAAGAAGGCTTTTTGTATTTGGTATTGTACAGAATGGTGACTGTCTTTTAATAAATCTTGCAATTAGCTCGAGCTAGGACGAGGCCTCTTCGTGCGATTCATATTGTATAGTCTGCCGCAAGAGGTTGTGGTTGGATCCAATGGGCTCTATCCAAGGCATATGACTCGCCTATTCAACTGTCTAGTCAATCAGTGTTCAACACGAATCAGCATGAGGTAAGAGCCTGTCTGCTCAGCTCTATGAATGCGATAATCTTACAAGGGAAAGAATAGCAGGTGATAAAAGATAATCAGAGAGAGGGTAGAATTCACTGGCTAAAGGCACAGGTGTAGCATCCACTGCAGAACAGTCTACTTTTAATAGATTCATATCCTAGTTAAACTCCTCAGGATACTTGAATGCTCGATTACGACCCGCATCACGTCCCACGCCAAATTGGATATAATTGATAACATCCTTTGGGGTGAGTGGTTGTGCCTTGTTCAAATTCCGCAGGTGAGCGTCCTTGTTATGACGCAGTATTTTCAGTGTACGAGCTCGAGCCCAAAAGGTCTCGCTACTCCTCCGTAATTTCTCAATCTCGAGGCACAGGTGTCGCTAGTCAAGGTCTTCATGTCGGATCTCGTCCAGCTCGAGGAGATGAGGAGTTGCTCGACCGCGCCAATAGCTGTCCATCGGGGGGCAGTGTACGGCCTGACAGAACCGTCGGACGCTCAGGTAGTCCAACCTGTCGAGAATCAAGCAGAGAATGTCGCAAGGCAGATTTAGCCGCGGAATCCTGGACCTCACGCGGGAGGACCGGCGCAGAGCCGGAGCAGGTTCTGCCCGTCGTCGCTTGCATTCTTCGATCAGCCTGCCGACGATCGGGCTTCGAAGGGGATCTACGGTTTGAAACAGATCAGAGTCAGCCATACGTTTCCCCATCGATTGATTGATTCGGCCCCCGGAGATGCCGGCTACCCGTACGTACCCTGTGCGCGTCGCTTCTTCTCCCATGAATTCCGAACCAGAAACTCCTCGGTGTGGAGTTCCGTCATCCTCTTTAATGAGACAGCAAGGATGGAATGGAGATGATTCTCCACGTCAGCATCAACAAATCTCAGGGTCAATGACCAACATGAAGCATGAACCGCAAAGACGAATTCACGCCAGTCCACCGGCTTAGCCCATGAGTTGGACCACAAACCGACATTCCTAGCGTGGTACCTGACGAGACCGGATGGGTCTCGGTTGGTTAAGCCAATGCATGCTTGGTTCCTGTCGATTGGAGCCTTAAAGTAGGTCTCACTGGGATCTGCAAGATGTGCAATACCAGATACTCGGTACGCCTGGCTCGTTCGATCAAAATAGACTGTTTGAGATGATCAGTTCAACTCAATTGATTGAACGGCAGAAAGGAAACCAACTTAGACGATAAGTACCCACCCACTCTTCCTTCTCCCGGAAGCGATACGTCCTTTCCAACTCGTCTGCATCGAGCCAAAGCAGCTGGGCTCCCTGGCCCGACTCCTTCAAGTCTCTGTAATGACCACAAATCGATTGACAGAAGCCAAAGCCGGCTTCAATGCCACATACGACACAGCCAGTGTAAAATCGGCCACCCATTGAGACTATTTGGTTTGAAACTTGGAGTACTCAGAGAAAAAAGTCTGATAATATCTGAATATTGATGTCATGGGGACAATGGGGTAAGCAGTCGCGTTCCGCTGGTTCTACAACGTCGGATTCAGTTAGAGAACCAAAGGGAACCATTCTATTCGATATGGATACTATCTCTAGAGAGAAAGTATCTAAGTAAGTAGCCTTTATATGTTTATATTCAAAGCTACTTATGTTAGTAACTATGAAGGTAAGGTACTGTGCCTTAGGAAGATTGCTTAAAGCTGATTCGCCTCTAGATGTCTAATTTCTCTTATTCTTTTCCTGTATCTACCTACCTAATCGAATCATCAGAATATCATCTTTTCCACAAATCTATCACCAGTAAAACATTTGTAAGTTCTGCCTGGAAGAGCATGTGCCCGCAGTCAAGCTATCTTAGTGACCTGCTTCTTTTTTCTGACTCCAGATTATCCTTCCTCTTGAATTGTCATCACTACATACCCAGACGAGGTCGTACTTACAGTATGCCTAGGGGTCCGTTTTGTCAACTCTGCTTGCAGAGAGGTCATCCCCTGATCAGATGCCCTTTAAGGAAGGGTTGGATGTTCCTGGGCCACATGTCGATGGTGCTGCAACTTCCCAACGAAACGTGGAGAATCTCGATGCCATCGGAAAACACAAACAATAGACCAGATTGGCGCCGCCGGGGAAGATGGTTGAACGCGAGCCATCGCGTGAGAGAGCGAATGACTAGAAGGAGAGGCGATACGCACAATCATGCCAGCCGTGGCAACTATGCAGCTGTCCGGTCTATGCCACCTCCGCTTCCCCTGCCGAATACACGTGCAATCAGTATGGCGGGAAACGCATCCGTCATAACAGTTGGCTCATCCTCATCCGCAATCTTTTATTCTACCTACTCTTCAACAAGCGACTCGACCATTGCAGACGAGAATCACACAAATCCAAGCGGCGATCACTCCTTCAGGTCTGAGCCGGCTGGGAGTTCTCAGGCAGCATCAGACAGTCTTCCCCTGAGACTTAGTAACGAAACTAGGCTGCCTGCAAACTTGGACAGAGGAGTCATGGTTAATAAAAGTATCTTGGCTGAAATTACCTCCATGGGCCACCTAGAGAGAATATGTTTCACACTGGGATTTAACAGCGCAGGTTGATACTGTGATGGCAGGAGCATTAGGAGCTGTAGTTAGGGATCACAGTGATGGGATCTTTGAAATTATCTGATGAATTGAGCACTTGCTTCCCTATACTTGCGCTGGAGATGGTCTGATTACCATACAAAAGACATCAAAATTATTATTTTGTCGGGGAGAAGAATGGAGGGGAGAAGAATAGAGGCAGTGAATTTGGCAGTCGATCCTCGATGACTGTGTCTTGGGCATTAGAATGCCAAATAATGCCAGTGATGATGACTTTGATACTCCATCCATAGTGCCTCTAGAGCTGCAATCTCATCAAGTAGCCTTCACATGTTCACATCCAAAGTCACTCATGCTGGTAACTACGAAGGTGCGGTGCCTTATGAAGATTGCTTGAAGCTTGATATGTGTCTATCTAATGGTCCTTGCTAGAAGTAGGCCATTTCAGCCACGGTTGGTACCACGACTCAACTACCGCCCAGCGCGGCGCTCCTCCCGGATCTTCATGATTTCCTCATGAATGATGGCAGATTGGGCCAATATGTCAAACCTGCCGGCGTAGAGCACCGGCTCAGATTTGGCCGCGTCCCACTTGTAGAATTCGGCATATCTGCCGACGGCGATAATGCCGTATTGCTGATGGCGCCATGGGTGCTGGGTCACCATGTGTGGCATGTATCGTTCCAGCTGCTCCCTGCCCTCCGTCCAGGTGGCCTCGTCATTCTCTCTTGCAGTGCGCTTGCACTGCGTCACAAGGAATGGCGTCCTCACACGCCTGGGTTGATTTGGCCGAACTACCCACTGGTAGCTACTAATATCGACATAGCCCCCTTGTACTTTGTCCTCGCTTCTATGGACAAAGCCATCACTTTGGTTAAAGTAATGGTTGAGGAGGAGGTCCCACACGCCAGTCACTGCGCTCTCGTCGCCATGGTGTATTCGTCGCGGGATGTCATAAGCGTTTTATACTTGACGCGTAGGAGGATTAGTATTAGTAGTGTATATAGCCAATGAAAGTCATACTTACAGACGTAAGGCTCATGTCTGGTGCTGTCATTGTATCCTGATCTGTAATGAATGTGATTCTGATTCATCATTAGCTATTTCAATATGCAGGAAGCATGAGAATTGACCTTGTTTTGGACACCAGACAGGGTGTCCGTCATGATGTCTCTCATTAGATTAACTTATAATAAGAAGGAAGAAAAGAAGGCATTTGCTCTAACTTTTGAGGCCTAGAAACAAGTCATGGAGGGGGCGTGTGGGAGAGAAGGAAGAAAGAAACAAGAAGAGATGCATAATGGGCAGCCTTAGTCCGGGCCGGTACAGGCTTCGAGAAAATAACATTCACTGTCAGTCAGTCCGAAAATTCACAGCTCAGGCCAATGTGCCTATTTTCTTTTACTGTATCAGGTAGTGGTCAAAGAGCACCTCAACTGGGAGATTCAAAGACTACGTTGAGATCGGGGCTTGAGTCTGTATTGTCTATAAATAGAGATGAAGAGTGTTGCTCCTCGTTCCATGGTAGCCAAGATTAAAGATCGACGAGTCACACGCCTAAGACGAAAGCTTCAAGAGCCTTGCTGATGCTATTTCGATGTCATTCCCTATACTTGACGAGTGAGTCATCCGAAGCACTATAAATCTGTCTCGCGACATTACCCATTTTCGTCCATCATTCCATTCTACCACACACCATGTCGTCCCAACGCACTGAACTCGGAGTTTTTGCAAAGCTACCGCCTGAGCTGCGGCTCTGTATATGGGACTGGCTACTCCCTTATGCAGACACCGAACGTTTTCCTGAAATGGAATGGCCGAGACGAAACACTTCGCTTACTATCCTCCGCGCCAGCAAGAGGCTACACGATGAGATATCGCATCATCTGTATTCCAACCTTACTGTCTCATTCACCGTCGATCCGCTCGAATCATCGTGGACTTACTGTAGACTCCCAAAATTCAGGCTGAGATTCACCCTTGGCTGTATGGGCCGTGCATTCTATCTCGGCTTGCACAGATTCCCTTTCCATAGGGTACATGTGCGCGTCGACGTCCTGCCACCAAAACCCTCAAGTCCTGGCCAACTGATACTACTGTTCGAAAGGCTCCAGGTGCTAGTGGACTTTCTCAGTATGGCAAAGTCTATAAAAACCATGGATATCCGCTTTTGTCACCCAGCAGACAAGAAAAGAAAATGGCATAAGGATGGGAAACCACTGAGAAGTCTGACATATGCGCCCTGGTTCGAGTACGAATTCATGGACCACCAGATCGTCTGCCTACCATTCTGTCGATTACACAATGTCTCATCCAAGAAACTGCGTTACTCGAAAAAATGGGGCCTAGATTGGACGATTCCCGCACGCGCAGGGGTATGTTTCAGACGCGATGGTGGCTGGACCATCGATGAATTTGACGATATCGACCTCTTCTTTTCGAAACTCAACGATTGCTTCGTTGATCGAGTTGAGAAGGGATTGCCCGGGGAAGTAGCCCGTGCACTGCGGCATCAACTGGAGCAATGGACAAAAGCGGGCATGCAGAAAGACGCTTTCAAATTTGACATATTATGCTCCCGAAAATGGTACAGAGACCGGCACAGTGTATGCTTGGATTCAGATAATATACCTTTAGTGTCATATGGCTAGCCTGACATGGGGAATGAGGCTACACGTCTTGACTTGTGATGACCGTACCTCCAGGGTATACCCTGACATGTTATAAGTCAATTCAAGCATATATAGGTTTCAGAAGAAGACGCTCTCAAATTCCATGTATTGCGGTTCCCCAGAGGGAAGATACTCGAGCACAGTGTATGCTCGGAGGCCGTCAAAAGGGCTCCTATTTAGGTAGTTGGATGATATGCTGCCAGTACTTGGAGCATCACGCTTTCCTATTTGAGATATTGCGTACAAGCAACCGACACCCCCACGACAGCTCCTTCCTGTCATGTAGAGTAAGCAAAGTGAGATGTTTATATGATTGAGTCCTTGCTCTGGATTCTCTGTTTCTTCCCAATTCATGCACTTTTGTTGATCAAGCCTCTTGCTTTGAAAAAGTACGACTTTTATTCTGAGTGTTATACCGACCTGCCTGCGATTTGAAATGGGCTATTATGGTAGCTCCGACGAGTATGTATATCAGAGTTATCCATGCTTTGCAATACCTGACTGTCCTTCTATAGGTCTCCTCGCCCTTCATGACTTTCAGTCCCGACGATGATGAGTTTACTACATCAGGTAAGAATTCTCCTCATGACTTGGGCATTGCTGGCGATGATACAGGTAACCCTCCGGCACCTTTGAAAGAAGCTGCTGAGATGCCCTTATCCGAACACGATGCTGCCAAGAAGGCTCTGCATCGTGCAGACCTTGCTAACCAACCCTGCACTTTGACTCTTGCGCAGACGCGTGCAGTTTTAGACTGCCTCCGCCGAGAGTCACAGGCATCAGCATCTGGTTCGTTGACAAGCACTAAGGACAGCACAGCTCGACTGGAATTTCTTGTACTCCTTGGGGATTATGCGGGCCGACTGTGGAAGTGCCTTCGGAAAGCATCGGTCGCTCTCAAGGACGAACTACCGGATCGTGTAGGCGCATTCTATGAAAGGCTGATCGTCGAAGGCAAGTATGGGCGAGGCGCTTATGCCGACACCCTCCTTGCCTGTGTCAATTACTTACGAGAGTCTGGAATGGATGTGGACGAAGAGACGGCCCGTCTGGCAATACAAATCTACACGGAACGACACGAGGCCTGTCATACAGCTGGGAACCCCAATATCGCCGGCGACTTGCAAGAACTGGGAAGTCTGAAAAGGAGGGTCTACATGCCTTTGATGGCATCCTCGAAGACATAGGGGTGTTGAGATCCAAGGTGGTGACAAGGCAATACAGGCTGTCCAGGAAGCTTCTTCAGCCAGCGATGGAGCTCCCTTCTGAAAGGTCATGTCTTGGTCAGGGGCATTGACCACATGGAACATACCACCAGTCACCACAGAAGAAGCGTCGGTATTAAACCACCTCTCCTATGGATGTATCATGTGCCATCCCTCCACTACTCCAATCCAAATAGTCTCCTGTTAGAATATGATACCGCTACGATTATGGATATGAATCCTTGCCTGACGAGTACTCCGTCCGGACGCTTTTGGCCTGGTGGCATTATATTTCAACATCTCCCATAAGCGCGTAGGGAAAGGGCCTATGCAGAATATGAGAGCTTTGCCCTGACTATTTGACATATTGGAAGACTATAGTCGCCAAGCTATACATGCCTTATAGTACACCCTACCGAAACAAGGCTCATGCCCCTAATATAGACGTATTCGCATGGACCCTTATCGACTACGTTACCGTTGGTCTTTGCTATTCTGTACTCTTCACGCTGTTCTTAATTAATTTATTAAAAACCAATAGGAACATATCCATAGATCGTCTGCCACATGTTGTTAGACGGATCGCGCTCGTTCCGTGAGAAGTGCAGAAAGGTTTGGTCACGGCTTCGGCTCAACTTGGCCATGTCTTCCTCCGTCGTTCCAGGGGGATAACCGTCTCGTGGCCGAAAGACACCGAGTGGTTTAATGCGTGCTTCGCTAGGGACGAGCACAGCTGGTGTCCTGGATTCCATCGTAAGTGTAGGGTATGGGCTTGCGCCAAGATCGAAATCCATGCTGAAGGGACTTTGACCTGCGCTTATTGCCGGTCCATACATTTCTTCTAGCGTCATGATTCGTTCGCCCATCGTGGCACCAATGTCGCGCTTGTAGAGCCCCTCCACCTGATGCGCTTGACGGAGCAGAGCGAGTGCTGTGCGTCGAATTGTGGGTTCGCGACACCTGACACATGTGAACCAAAGCGGAAGACCAACGCTGAGTTCAAAGGTAAAAGGTGGTTGGGTGCCATCATGCCGCGCTGAGCCACTTAACGCGATGCTGGACTGTTCAATTATAGTTTGGAAATTTTGTAGATAATCATCTGTGGTGATCCTCGATGGCGATCTGCAGACCCCGAGCATGACAAACAACATTTCATGGTAAGAGAGGAGCAGAGCGCCGGTACTAACTTGCGCTGGGTCTTTTGTGCAACGAGATTCCATCAAGTTAGTAAATGCAGTGTGCCAGCTCCGTAGCCTAACTGACAGGGTTCTTCGCTGATCCATCATTTCTGGGGATATACAGCAGGCATGCGATTTTATCAGATACTCTTCGCAAGCTGATTCAAACAGCGGGATCTCTATAGCTAGGATAACGATGGCCTCCCGAGCAGACTTGAGGGAGACAAACTCGTGTGTGGATGCAAGGTCAGTCTCTTGCAATAGACTGCTCACTAGCACCCCAACACTGAGAGTGACTGCTCCTAATCGGACAAAAATCGGGATAATTGTATCCTTTAAGATAGAGGCTTTGGTGGCTGTCATCGCCCTGCAAGCGAGAATGAGCTGCACACCTTGACCATAGAGGCGTAAAGCCTCCTCCATACCTCCTAAGAGGGCCTCAATGCAGATAAATAAGATGCATGTAATGAGTCCGACAAAGGTGTCGATAGTCCCACGTTCAATTCCCCGGCGAACCGCAGACACGGAGCGCGAATACCACTCCAGCGCGTCTCGTCGGTTTTGATTGAGCAAGCGAGAATGATCCCGGCGTAGAGAGACGAGATCCTGGCCGGGATCGGGATTCTCGAACAGTGAGCTTATGGCGATCATGGCATCCCACACAGCAGGTTCGCTCCGGCAAACCTGCGGGACAATCGTGCGCCAGAAATCAACATCCAGTCCGCCGCCAATGGACGCCGCAGTGTACTGGAAATAGTAGGCAAAAGCGCGACGCTCTCGCCATACTGCGTTTGAGGATAGTGAAAGGGAGTTGTCAAGAATGGATATTGCAGAAGTCGAGGAGAAAAATGTGCAGGATATTGTACTTTCATACTCGCACTTGCGACCAGTGCTAGTGCATCGGAGACAATGAGGCTTTTCTTCTCCGCACTTGACTCTCCGAACTCTGGAATGCGATTTAATATTTTACACTTTGTGCGAAAAGAAAGGAGGCACCAACTTGCAGGTTTTGCAACCCAGTTTTGATCTCAGGGGTCTGATTGAGCTAAGTCTCAGATCGGCTGACACGCTAACGGACATATCGATGACATTCCAGAGTAGAGGCTCCCATTCTAGCCAAGAACCATGCGGGATTTGTGAGAGGGACAATTCGCGCTGCAGACAGCTGATCAAGGTACGTATGAAATGAATCCTGTACAGGTAGGAGGTTAGACCGTCAGGCACAAATGATTTACCGGAAAATCCTTCAACCGAAGTCATTACAAAGCATCAGATATCCCATTTCTGATTACTGAACCTTAGTAATTCTGAGCGGAATTCAGCCCGTCAACATAACCATACTGAATTAGCAATCAGAGTCTGTCGCTTCCCTTATGGAGACACTTGGAATCAGACTGTCTCACTTTATTGAGATATCCTGCGGGTTTACTAGGCGGAAGATGACAATATCAGCCATGGCTTGACAAAGTGTATGGCGTCATTCACGAGAATGATGAGATACCATGGTGCTATATATGGAAGATTATAAAACCATGTCGCTGTCCAGGCGGAGCGGCCTGGTCTAATAGATCCTCAACTCATCTGTCTGTTTTCTTCACCAATTAACAAATATCATTCTGCCAATGTCGCTGAAAGTAGCCATTGCGGGAGTAAGTACATCGACCCTCCACTAACACATATTTTATTATCAGGTCGCTAATGTACATTTGCAGGCCACTGGCAACCTTGGCCCGGCTGTACTCAACGCCCTTCTCAGCGCCGGCTTCGAGGTGACTGTCTTGACCAGGGCTGAAAGTGACAGAAGCAACAACCACTTCGGCCAAGCTCGCGTGGTACCAGTCGACTACAGCTCCCTGGACTCCTTGACAGCAGCTCTAAAAGGCCAAGATGTAGTCGTCAACACTCTTGGTACTATCCCCCGAGACGTCCATATCAGATTGATAGACGCAGCCGTCGCTGCCCAGGTCCAGCGCTTCATCCCCTCAGAATTCGGCTCCGACACAACCAACACCACAGTAGCCAAGCTCCCAGTCTACCAGGATAAGGTTGCCATTCAGAAGTACCTCCAGGAAAAAGCAGCCGAGTCTGGGGGCACGTTCTCCTACACGCTCCTGATTAATGGCCCCTTCCTCGACTGGGGTCTGACAGTCGAATTCCTGCTTAGCTGGCGCGCCCCAGAAGTGGAGCTATATGATGGGGGTGAACGAAAGTTCAGCGCAACGACGCTCGCAGGGGTAGCCAAGGGGATTGTTGGCATAATTAACAACCTTGAGGCCACGAGAGATCGCACAGTGTATATCCGTGAGACTGATGTCTCTCAGAAGGATCTGCTGAAGCTCTCGGGCAAGCAGCTGCCCACAAAGTCCATCAGCACAGCAGAGCTGGAGAAAGAGGCTTATGCCGAGCTCGCCAAGTCCAACCCCAACCCCGGGGTATTTGTGTTCAATTTCATCAGGCGAGCTATTTTCGGGGAAGGGTGCGGCAGTCTTTTTCCTGTTGAGAGACTCAGTAATGACTTGTTGGGAGTGAAGGTGCTTACCGAGGAGGAGCTGCAGGAGATTGTGTCCAGGTCTACTAAGTAGGTTGTATGTTGACCTTTGCTATCCTCGCATGATTGTCAGTATGTAATTATACTGGAAGATAGCTCTTCAAGGATTTGCATTCTCTTAATCTGCTTATTACATCACAACTATAACCTCATCCAAACAGAGACGCAGCAGATAGCCAACTAAAAATTAGGTTCAAACGGCCCCTTCAACAACCTCAACATTTCCCTCGGATCGTCCTCATCCACAATAAAACCACGGGCATACTTCGACACCGAGGTCGCAATCACAAGAGCGATATAGGCAACATTGCCCCGAATCTGCCATACATCGTCTCTCATCCACCGATACATCCGGAAGGCATGATCATATTCAGCCCGGTTCTTTTCGTCCAGGTCCGAATACCGCAGAGCGCCTATCTGATAGTCTCCGTAAGCTGGAAGGCTGGGCTCATCCGGCACAGCTGGGGCGTCTGCAGTGTCGGGGTCGATGTATGGCCAGACATTCTTGCACATGGACGCCAGCCGGATTTCCTTGTACCAAGCCAGCCAGTCGTTGCGATCTGTGAGGATGATTGGCTTGGATGGAGCGGTGAGCAGCTGGCTTATGTTTTCATTCATTATGGGATACAGCCAGTCGAAGGTGGAGGTTCAGATGTATTGAGTATACCTCTGAGTGTCATGGAAGTGTATCTAGCAAACAATGACGTTGAAGTCGTTGATTGCCACCAGTCCATACAAAGCCTCAGGCATTCAATATAGACTTTGAGGAGACTGGAGTCAGCTGACTCACCTAACCCTAAGCCGCATCCGGCATACAACCAGATGATACTGTTGGTCAACTTGGTCATTCGTAGAAGTTTCCAAATGGATACTTTAAAGCTCTTATTATGCAATAACATTGCCTAAGCAGAAGATAATACTACCAAGGGCTGTCTACGTAGTACCATATCTGTCTCCAAAGTCGGTAGTTTCCACCCTCTGCCAAGCGGCCCAAGCCGACCAAAGCTTGGGGAGGCTTCTTTTTCAGGGGTAGATTCTGATTGATGGACTAATCAATCCCCACGATTACCCCAGATTTCTCCGCAAATTAGTCGGATCCTGCAGGAGAATCCGTGATTGATGGAATTGCTTAGCTGTGGGATATAGTTTGGAAATTGCGTTTGCGTTTACCTCAAACTTAGTGTACAGCATCCCCTGACACAAACTCCTCGAGTCCTCGACGTCCTCGTTTACAACTGACGGTCTGACCGCTATGTATAAATAAGCTGAATGCGTCTGTAATCCACCGTAGTAAACTAGTAACCAGCATCAATCGCTACAGAATGCTAGGTCTTTCTCTCGCCCTAGCTGCCTGCGTGGCAGTCACGCAGGCTCTACCAGGCTACCCCGTGGCGCGCGACACCTCAGACACCTGTTCTGGTGTGCATGCGCGCGTGTCTCCTCCAGCCGGGGCAGTTGTCGTGGACAACAGCGCGAGCCCTCATCCAGGGTCTCATGCAACTGTGCAGGCCGGTGTCAATGCGCTCAACACCACCACGGCCAGCCCCCAGCAGCTTTTCATCTTCCCCGGCACCTACACCGAGCAGGTCTACATCCCCCGCTTGAAGTCGAACCTGACCGTGCAGGGATACACCTGCAATGCCAAAAGCTATGAGCACAACAAAGCCACCATCACGTACAACCTGGCCCTGATCAACACCACCAGCGACGATCTGACCGCCACGCTGCGCCAATGGAACCCCAACACCAAGATCTACAACCTCAACATCGTCAACACGTTCGGCCATATCCCCAAGAACGGGCAGAACCTGGCGGTCTCTGCCGAGGCTGATGGCCAGGCTTACTATGGGTGCCAGCTGATCGGATACCAGGACACGCTGCTGGCCGAGACGGGCCGCCAGCTGTACGCCAAAAGCCTCATCGTCGGCGCGGTGGACTTTATCTTCGGGCAGAGGGCGCTGACCTGGCTGGAGAGCATCGACATCCGCACCATCGCCAATGGCTGCATCACCGCGTCCGGCCGCGACAGCGACTCCAACCCTTCCTGGTACGTGATCAGCCGGTCCAACGTCTCCGCCATCAACGACACCATTCCCGCGGGGATCAGCTACCTCGGCCGTCCGTGGCGGAACTATGCTCGTGTCGTCTTCCAGGAGACTTACCTGGGGAATAACATCGCTGCCGCTGGCTGGTCCCAGTGGTCCAAGAGCACCCCGAACACGGATCATGTCACCTTTGCCGAGTATGAGAACTACGGACCGGGCTCTGTGTCGCAGGAGGGGCCGCGCGCCAACTACAGCCAGCAGCTGACTGCGCCGGTCTCGATCCGGTCTATCCTGGGAGATAATTTTGAGGATGAGTGGTGGGTCGATGCCGATTACCTGCATCCTAGCGACCTCAAGGATAAGTCCAAGGCCACGTCGACTTCTTCCTCAGCTGCTACCACAGCTACCGCAACTACCACAGCAACCACAGCTACCACAACACCAGCCTCCCCCTGCACCTGCACATCCTACTCGCAGATCCCCTCCGCCGTCGCCTCCTGCACAAACATCGTCCTGTCCAACATCGCCGTCCCCGACGGCTCCGCCATCGACCTCTCCGCCCTTCTCCCCGGCACAACCGTCACCTTCGACGGCACCACCACCTTTGGCTTCACCAACTCCTCCTCCTTCAACCCCGTCACCATCTCCGGCGCCAACATCACCATCACCGGCACCCCCGGCGCCATCATCGACGGCAACGGCCCCGCCTACTGGGACGGCCAGGGCTCCAACGGCGGCGTCCCCAAACCCGACCACTTCATCGTCGTCAAGAAAGTCACCAGCCACTCCGCCATCCGCGGCCTAACCATCCGCAACTGGCCCACCCACCTCTTCTCCATCTCCTCCTGCTCGGACCTAGTCTTCGAGGACCTACTGCTCAACAACACCGCCGGCGACGCCCCAAACGCACGCAGCGGCACACTCCCCGCCGCACACAACTCAGACGGCTTCGACGTGTCCTCGTCGAGCAATATCATAATCCGCCGCAGCACAGTATACAACCAGGACGACTGCGTCGCCATCACCAGCGGGAACAACATGACCGTATCGGAGATGGAGTGCCACGGCGGCCACGGACTGAGCATCGGGTCTGTGGGCGGGAAGAGCAATAACAACGTGACTAATATCTTGGTATTCCTCCCCTCTTACGTACAGTAATCCTGAGAAGTTATGCTAACGCACGATAGTTCACCGACTCAGCAGTCTACGACTCGCAAAACGGCTGCCGCATCAAATCCAACTTCAACACCACCGGGTACATCGCCAACATCACCTACGCGAACATCCGCGTCCAAAGCGCCTCCATCTACGGCATCGACGTCCAGCAGGATTACCTCAATGGTGGTCCGACGGGGAGCCCCTCCAACGGGGTGCTGATTGAGAACGTGAGCTTCCGGAATGTCTCTGGCACGGCTGCCTCGGCTGCTACGGACTATTATATTCTCTGTGGCGAGGGGTCGTGTGAGAACTTTACCTTTGAGAATGTGGATATCTCTGGCGGTGGGGTTAGTAGCAGCTGCAATTATCCTGCGAGTGGATGTCCATAGCTGTCTGTATATACCGAGTCAATTTTATATGTTTTCATGTACTCTTCAAGACTGCGCAATCGGTAGCGTAGAGTAGTCCATTCTCCTGGTCATGCTGACATGTCTCAATAACTAAAGGATTTCTTCAAGGTCAAGGATGTTGATAACCTACAATATCTACTCAAGGAACATTCATATGAAAGAATCCATATTCAAAACATCAGCTACATCCACAAAGGAAAGACATTGAGCAACTCCTCGTCCTGCACCAGCGGAACTCCAAGGCATCCTGAACCATTGTCCATCACTGGATACAAGGAACCCTCCATACCTGGGATCTCGGAGCAAGTCAACCAGGTTTTCTCATTTGCAATTCTTTTTCTCTTTTTTGATTTTCATTGTTGTAAAGTCTCGGTACCAGCCAAGCTGGATAGCCAACTGCATCATCTGTCGTAGTCGTATCGTCATGATTCGTTACATCAATATCCTATCAGCTGCATTGTCATGAAGAGGCACCGAGGCAGTCAGAAAATATCCTCGGGCCATCGAAAATCCTCTTCCCTGAGTTGCGTCTGGCCCGAGTTCTGCATCTGTGCGTTCTTCAACTTCCAGAGCTCCCTGGCTAGCCGTCTATCTACCTTTGCAGCGGTGGCAGCTAGGTTCTTCGGGAGTGGAGGCACGGGCGGGATACGCTCGTGCATGTAGCCCCGGCTGGGGGTGGATGTCGGAGTGGGAGCGCCCGTCCTGTCGTCCAGTTCCCTCAGATCTATGATCGGATAGTCCAGGTAAGGCTCCTGCGGAGGTTCGTTCTCGCGATTCGGCTGCTTCTCGAGCTCATTCAGGTGCTTCTCACTGGCACTGGAGCCGGCGGAGCGAAGATCTGAGCGTCCTTGCTTCATTCGGAGACTTGGCGTCGTTCGACTCCGCGAGGTTGATCTTCGTCTATGGGCGGAGGGTGAGCTCGTGTTTGAGCGTCGCCGGGGTTGATGTTGGTTTCTTCCTCGATATTCGTGCTCTTCTGCCTGGGATTGATCCTGCGTGCGCTTTCGCTCGACAGATCCAGGACTGTCACTCTTTCCCATTTTGGTCGCCTTTCGGGGTGTGTCGGTTTCATGAAAACGGGCGGGTTCTTCATACTGAGACTCCTTGTTAGGAGAATCTTTAGTCATTTGATGGACCTTGTCACGGACTGACTTTGGATTCGGCGACTTTCTCTTGAGGCATGGGCTCTCCACAGTCGCCAATCCGTTTCCCTGGCTCTCACCCACTCGTCGGACATTTCCGGACGTCACGGACAATACCGCTAGCTCGACTGCTTGTGAATCAGGCGCTGCTGCGGCATCATTTTCGTAGAATCGCTCCGAAGGTAGCGTCGGGAGGGCTCCGGGCACGAACGGTCGATGATAGGGTCTCTCCTGACAGAGTGTCCTTACCGGCTCCTCCTCCTCCTCCTCTTCCCCCGTCAATTCGCGCAGCTCGCGCTTCGCGCGTTCAAGCTTCCCCTCGAGATCACTTACCCGCTTCAGCAACTTGGTTTGCTTCTGTAGCTCCTTGCGGGATCGCGATTTGCGCACTCCGGGACGGTCCAAGTCCTCAGATCCTCGCTTGATATAAGGAATTCCTAGCGACGACTTGGCCTTGCGTAGTTCCTGCAACGAACTCCGAATCGAGCTTCCAGACCCGTATCCTTCGGTGGAATCCTGTCTCGAGTGACGCCCCAAAGTCTTGCTGCCGTCCCACTGCGCCTGACTCGCTCTGCGAGAATGTTGCTCCGCAACAGGAGCACTCGTCTGCACGCCCTGCATATAGCTTCCCTTGACAGTCCCCTTGTAGCCTGCCTTCTTAAGCTCCGCATACGCCTTCTCCGCCTGCGCCCTGACATCGCCTTCCGGCCTGTGCTCGGACTGCGAGCCGCGCCAGATATCAGAGACATTTCCCCACACCCCAAACGGGTTAAACGCCGATGCAATCGCCCTCCCAAACCGAAAGATACCAGATGACCTCTGACCTGCACCGCTATCATTCTGCGCGGATGCGCCCTCGTCCCCGCGTATAAAGATACTTGGCGGCTTTTCGCTTACGCTGTCGTTCATGTGCTCCTCGATGAAGCGAGACGGTCGGCCCCGGCTCGATTTATCCCCGCCACCTCCCTGACGTCCATTCCGACGAGGTGAGCCGTAACTCGAGTTCTTGAACGGCCAGCGGTGATTGCCATTGTCCTTTGATTGGGGATTCTCTTCGCCGGGTTGGAACGGCCAATCGTTTGAACGGCGCCGCTTGGACGAGTGCGCGGACGGCGACTTGGTAGGCTGCTCATCTAGATCGGATTCCTCCGCGTCGTCGAAGCGGCCGGATTCGTCCGACAGCCAGTCCGAGTTTACGGCAGAGCTGCGCGAGTGCTTGCGAGAATGGGAGGAGTAGCCGTTGGAACGTCTGTAGGTCGAGCGGACGGCTTGCTGCAACTGGCGGTCCGCTTGGTGGGGGTCGCTCTCCAGGTGCACCTGCACGTAGGACATCTAGCAACGAAATCGATGAGTAAAGTGTTTGTGGTTAATGAATCGCATTGTGGGATGATGACGCGCAAGGGCGCGGGGAACAAGCATGTGTAGCACAGGAAAGGGTTTATAAGACAAACCTCCGCATCGATCTCCCCTGCCGTCATGCCGACTGACCGCCCTCAATACTCGTGGTCAATTATATGTTAGAGACTGCAAACATATAGAATGATCATAATGATACATCTAGAGCAGGAGAGTGTCGAAGGCGAAAACCAGAGATCTCTGGAGGCTAGAAGGCGGGGGTGTTGTTGTTGTTATGTTGCGATGTGTTGTTATTGTTGATGGTCTTGTTTACATCCGGGGTTTGATCAACTATGCGCCAAGCGCGCGCGATGGGTTTCGATTAAATAGCGTCTTCAGAGACACAGACCATCATTATTCATGAGTCCCCGGAGTTCTGAGATAAATGAACACGGTAAGGCGATGACTCGAATGCCTCGCGTCCGGAGGGAATTCTCCTTTGACGACACTGTGGGAAATGAATGTCTCGTTCTGACATGTGCCCTTTGCCTGTGTCCAGTCACTCAATTATGCAGAACAGGCCAATGGGTCGATAGACCTCAGTTGACATTCTTCTTTGCACAGCCAGGCAGAATAGATCTAATTGAATCTCCAGTCTCTGATTGCAAATGTGCGATATGAATAGTGAAATGGTAGCTTGTAGCTCGGCAAGGGCTCGAACACTAACTCGTCATACTGAAAGGTTAACAAGGGGATGATTAAATTACGTCGGGGGACAGATTGCCCGGCGCGTCAAGCTTATATGTCCACTGGAACAGGAATCTCGTGTCTGAGCTTATGATTGATCGTATTGAATAAACATCTATGACTTTCTGAAAGGACACGGCGCTCTGACGTGGCTTGCAGATTTTTGAAGCAAATACAGGAAATAAAGGAATGAAGTAGCCAAAATAGACCCCCACCAAAATATCCACCGGTTGCTAAAAAAGAACCAAGAAACGAGCAGTACGGGAGGAGGGTTCATGTTCGATAGGACTATCGAGCTTTGGAGTCACGCGCTCAGATACGCTGCCAAGTAAGAATATACAAAAGAAACTGTGATGGCGGCAACCAGTATGGTCGGATTTATGAAGATCAGAGAAAAGAAAAATCCTGGCGTCCAAGCCGAATACACAAGAGTACAGTGGAGAGAAGTTGCATCTTCCGGAACGAACATAATCTTGCCCAAAAGTCGTCACATAAACTGGTAAAGTTCCTGAACGCGTTATGGTAGCGCAGGCGAAATCTTCATGACCATCCTTCCATTCGCTCGTTTGTATGCCATCTCATCACGCGAATCAGTGTAGAATGGGAGCCGGCCATAATCAGGCTGCTTCCGAGCCATGTTAGGGTATTGATCCATATCAGGCCGCATCCCGTTGTGCAGAGGACGCTCATCATTGCCAAAGGTGTCCTCATGCGACCGCTTGGATAGGGAATGATTCGTTTCCCACAACAGACGCTTCCCAGAACTGAGCTCGTGATGTGGGCTGTGCGCGTTGCCATTCATGGGCTGAGGCGGGTGGGAATATTCACCTGAGAGAACTTTCAATGGCGGGAGCGAAGTTACATGGTTTGCAGGAGTCGGAGCACGAGGTACCGGAGGTTGCGTCAGGGTGGGGTATGCATTCGCGTCGGAGGAGCGAGAATCGGTACATGTCTGCATGTTCGGTGCCTTTGGCGGCTCCAGTCTGAGAGGAGGTAGGGCTGCTTTGGAATAGCTTGGACGTTCAGCCGGCAGGCGTGGCTGGGGGTACGGGTAGCCAGGGGGAGTGGCGTCGTACTCGGTGCCATTGGAAGGATTTCTTGAGTGAGAATACGAAGGGTGTGGAGATTGTGTGTTTGCGGGAGTGGCCGACTGAGGTGTCGGCGGCAGTTGGGGAGCCGGATACTGGCTTTGCGTCGCTCCGAACGAAAGATGAGACTGATATGAAGATGTCTGTGCCGAAGTTGGGGGGTTGTGAATGGCAGGTGGAACGGGAGCTGCGGGAGCTGCTGGAATGGATCGTTGGTATGGCTGCGCGCCTTGGAATCCGTAATCGCTCGCAGACGGCCGTCTCTGCGCATCAGAGCCATAGGGGAAGGCGGTATCAGCGGTGGTACTGATGCTGGTGGAACGAGCACGCTCAGCGGAATTCGCCGCGTACATGTCAGGGGTGGTGTATCTGTCCGACCGAGCAGCAAAGACCCTCTCATCATCAAAGTCGTAATCGTCGGTGCGCTTCTCGCCGCGGCGTCTCATGCGCACATCCCGTCGAATACGAACTCGGCAGCCTTGCTCTGCAATGATGCGGCTGAGCGATGTGCTTGTGGCCAGTCCAGGGAACTTCTTCGCACTGTAGACGGTGAACGGGACCGGCTTGACTTCGAGGCGGAAGTTCAGATACGACTTGGGTGCTGATGGTTTGGTCAAATTGATGCTCGAGTTGACGTCAGGCATTGGCGTGTCCTTGTCCGCATCCT